TATCACTAAACCCAACAACATTTTGACTTAAACTTAACTTAGATTTCCAACCATGAAAAATAGGATCGGAATTCAATTGTTCATCGGTGATCCATTTTTTAAAGAATAAATTTTTTCCCGAGAAACGAATTAATGGCCAAATCTTTTTATTCAATCGAAGATCTTCATAGTTTTCGTCAACCCAAACATATAGACAAGAGCACCTTAAAGGTTGAGTGTATAAAAAAGATTTAATCATTAAAGCAATTTTTTCGGCCCCTTTACCTCTCCAATAAACATGAAAAATCATTGGATCATTTTCATTACAATATTTTGGAGAAGAAGGTTTTACCAAATAATCAGCTTGTTTTGAATCCAAATAATCCAAACAATTTTGTACGGGATATTTATAAAGTACGGCGGTGGTATAATTTATTGGTTCACAATGTTTATTAACTCGATTTATGTCAATGACATAACCGTCAGGAGGTCGTTTTTGATAATTCACGGTAGATGCGTTTGAATGTTGAGGTAATATTATATTAATTTTGATTATGGGATAGTTCAAGTAGTTGATAAAATCAAATACGAAAACCAGATGTAAAAGAGGTATTGCTATTATAAAGGTTATTAAAAAGGTATAAAATTTTAATCCGTGTGATACCTTAATATCTTTAATTAACGATATAAATTTAATTGGAGACATGGTATGTATTAATTATAAATAAAAAAAAACATCTCTTAATAAAAAGTGGCTTCTATGAAAAAAAAATAAAAAAAAATAAAAATAAAAAAAAAAGAATTCAGTTATATGCTTTTGACCTACAAAATATTATCATTTATAACCTAATGTCCGTTGTCAGAAAAAGGGAGATATGTGCATAGTATTTTTATTGTTATGGAATTTATATCATACGTTTTGTGCTGTGGTTTATGCGTCATTGTTACGGGAATTACTATAAAGAGAAATTTGTACTTTGTTGTTGAACACCATTTGTGATTTGTAAACCGATTTTATTCATTTAACGCTAAAGTAAAGTATCATAATATGTAAATAATTTAACCCATTTAAGTATTTTAATTAAATTTTTTTGGTCTTGTAAGTACAATGATTTTTCCATGAAAATATGATGAGTTCCATTATTGTGTAAAATAAATAAATAAATGCTATGTCAACTCACATACGTAAACTAATACGATATGGTGTTTCCTGACAGAGTTTTGTATCTAGCGCTAATCTTTCGGGTTTGTATAAACATGTACTGTACGTACGTACATACATATCAGATATCGATATGTATCAGGTATACGTACGTACGTACATACCTGCGTAATACGTATATACTAGAATTCGCGTGACCCTGTCACATCAGTGATATTTGATTATCGTTATGGGCTAGGTTCATAATAATTGTTTCACGAAAAACATTATAGTGTTACATATAGATATGCATTACTTAAATAGTAATATATTACATATTGATATTTATACGCTGATTTTGGCGAATCTTTTCTGAGTTGGAAAAATATTCTATATTTATGGTCAGAAATTATATTAGCACAAATAGAAATTGAAATAGATTTCTGACTACAAAACCTACCGGAATCATTGTATGCCTATGCCTTCAATGTAATAGGACGTTACTTGAGTGTCGTAATATTAAAACTTGGAAATCTTTATAGATAAAATTTCCATGTTTTCTTTTGATGATGTTCATTTATGTACCTCCCGTTTCTAAAGATTATTTTACTAATATTGTTCTGATGAATCATAATTCATTAGATCTTTATTCTATTGCTTCTTTTAGATTTATCATGCATCCTCATCTCGGATATGTTCAGGATCAATTTCCAATATCTCATCATCACCTATCATTTCTTTGATCTTTCATTTTTTTTAATTGTTATAATGAGGTTTATCACTACCACTCATTCCCATCTAATTCATAATAGAAATGCTTCTCGTGTCAGACAAACTTAGCATTATGTAAGCATTTTGTGTGTGTAGCACATGTGAAATGTATATATCTTATTTTAATTAAAATTATCAATATAGGCATAATACAAAGAGGATATCAATAATTTTTTCTTTTTATAAAATTCATCGATCGCCGTTTTACTACATCTCTAAATATTTTTCATTTTAGGCTTCAAAATTAATGTAAATGAACCAATTGTTTTTATGAATTAAATTGCAGATAAATTATATTCACCATTGTCATAAAATCTATCTTAATTTGATCAATTATTCCATGTAATAAAAAATTCTCAAAAGCAGCCAACACGTTATCAATTGATGCAAATAAAATGAGCAAAGACATCAGCTCTTTCAAGTGATAGCACGATTAAGCATAAATTACTACCGTAAATCTCCATATAAATGACAGATTCATCTGTATTATATCCAAGCCTATACCAGGGTTAAGAGTTTTGTGGAATGTAAGAGACCCAACGAGTACTTTGACCAGTAATTTAATTCACCGACTGTTCTTTTTCAACTTTTAATTCTAACAAACGTTAACTTTAAATAATCATATCCCTAAATCGGGCTAATCAACTGTTGGAGGGTTCTGGTAAAATTCGCTGACTGCCGTTTTGCCGACAATCTACATCTAACCAACACTAACTAGGCAAACCCTAACCTAAATCAGGCCAACATACACAAGTCGTTTATTTGTAGTTGGTTGAAATTTTTTTTTTTTTTAAGTACAAGCAGTTTTGCACCACGTTTAACATTTACGATTGGATAGCAGAAATCTTTAACAGCCACCCTGCTTTTTATTTGGCGTTATCTATATATACCGTAATCACATGATTGCATAACAGATAATTAACAATAAAACAATTGGTTTTTAATTACGCAAATTAGATAATGCAGACAAAACACGTAAAGTATTTATTAATTTGGCCATACAAAAATCAATAGAAAGTACTGTAACACTAGAAATTTAAAATTGAACGTTAAATTCTAATAATGAGGTACTGTAAATACATACAGTCGGACGTACTTGGTACGTAATTTTGAATTTTCAGATACCAGGTACGTTACGTAATTATTTTGTAATACGCGTTGTAATTTAACTTTGGTCAAAACAATGATTTTGACTTTACTAATTTGTGTTTTACACCTATGTATACATTATTACAAAAACCAACTAATTAATCTGTGTGAGGTATTCTAAGTAAAAATGTTCTACGCCCAAAAAACCCCTAACCCTAACTCTAATACTAGCCCGAATGTAAGTGGAAACGGGATTTTTTAGTTAAAATAGGGTTAGGGATAGGTTTACATAATAAATTCTACCATAAAATTCTAATTAAACTAGAGAATTCCGAATCCACTTAAATTCCGTTTTGACTTACTACATATACAAAATTTAGAAAATTATAAAAAATATAATAAAAGCATATAATAGGCGCGTTTTATAGTAATTGTTTAAGAATGAAGACCTCAAAATGTACTCTGGCAAAGACGTTTTCGTTATATTAATAATATATAGATATATATTTAAAAATATATATATAGTAAACGCTTTTACAATAAGTTCATTCTTTGTTGTACAAGAATCTACAAGAATTGACATCACTCTGACACTCCTAAAATCTTGGTCATTCCTTTTCCGTTAAGCTCGGCTCAAAAAAGCCAAACCAAGCCTCAAGTCATGGCAGTCATGGCTCAAGCTGTCTTGGCTTC